TCCTTGGATCAGAGACGGCTTGGGCGATACCCAATCCGAATCGCCCTATTCTGAATCGGATCGTCAATTTTTCAAACAGTACTAAACACAACTCTTATCTCTTGTTGATAAGGCTTTCATTTTCATTCTTTGGTACCAAAACAAACCAGCATATAATTTTAATTTTTCAAGTAATTTCCTGTTAAAGCCATTTCTATTCAAGGAGCTGATGGGCAATAATGGAGAAAAAGAGAGAGAGAGAGAGAAAAGATGACTTGATTTAAATGGTTGGTCTCAGTTCCTCTCTTTCATAGTCCATGATTTGGCACTAATAGGCATTAGCATGCCAATTTAATTTTTTTTTTTTAATAATAAAATGGTACGGACTGTTGAATCTTGTTTTTTCCTTGGATTTGGGATGGCGTGGACGATATCCGATCTGGATCGCCCGATTCGTATCGGATCACTGATTTTTCAAATAGTATCAAATACAACTCTTATCTCTTATTGATAAGGCTTTCATTTTCATTCTTTGATACCAAAACAAACCAGTATATATTTTTAATTTTTCAAGTAATTTCCTTTTAAAGTCATATCTATTCAATAAGCTGATGGGCAATAATTTCCTTTTAAAGCCATATCTATTCAATAAGCTGATGGGCAATAAGGAGAAAGAGAGAGAGAGACAGAAGATAACTTGATTTAAATGGTTGGTCTCAGTTCCTCTTTTTCATAGTCCATGATTTGACATTGATAGGCATTAGCATGACAATTTAAAATGTTTTTTGTTTTTCTTTGGATTTGTATTTTGATCATTATATTTTCTTGAAAAATTATTTTTAATATTTTATATAGGTTCATCCCAATGAGAAGATGGTACATACCAAATTTCATATTCATATGATTTGTATAAACAAAACTAAAAATAAAATACTTTGAGACGTCGGATCTAAGATCAAACGGTGAGTGGCTCTCTTAATAAAAAATTGGACGGCTGGCTGATAGGGGAAGCATAGATCTTCTATGCTATAGGGGAAGTATAGAAACCTTTCCCTTTACTGAAAGGGAGATGTTTGTGTAAGGTGTAAATCTTATATGATGGAAGTAATGTGTACTTCAAAATTCTGCCGAAAGTTGCTATTTTTGCTATTTTGGTGTTGGAAAGCGTTGCGATGGCATGAAAATCTATTATTATCCCTAAAAATTTTAATTTTAAAACAAGATCCAGATTGATTTGATCTATATATATTTAAAAATTTGAATATAGATGGCTTAGATAATACATTATAAGATGCACTATTTTCAAGACTTGAAATTTTTTTTTGTTTTTTTTGTTTTTCTATACCCATACATCTGGAGGTTGAGGTGCTTGATTTTATGATTTATTAGCATCGAAACAAACCTTTCCAATGGATTTTTTTGGTGCACCTTACTACAATATAAAAAGTTGACACCTTATATATATATAAACTTTTTCCTTTAATTATCACTTGTTTTAACAATTTTATGAAATTCTAAAGTTTTCGCATCCAAAAACTCCTCTTACATCACCTTTTCATGTAAAACATTTTTACTTGCTAAATGATATGAATAATTCCATTCAAATGTATCATTTCTTATCTATCCCATGAAAATAAAACAAATAGAGCCTCTCTAGTAATATTATCTTTTGTTGCATCGAATTAATTGAGACCCTGCAAAAAAGAGATGCATGAACTCTTCTATTTGAGAAGTAGGCAGGCGCACAGGTTGAATTTGGTGCTATCCAAAATGACCTACATATAGAATTCTCATTTTATGTGGGATTAATATTGATATTGATAAGTTTTTTAAAGGAAATATAAATCCAAAAAGATTAAAACTCTTGGATATATCTATTTGGTTTGAGATATATGTAATATCTTTAAGAAGTTTCTTATTTTGTATGGATTCTTAACGTTATATATATGAGATGAATGTGCAGAGAGTTTGTGCGCTCTATTCCACATGAGCATAAAATGTTCTGGTAGGCATGAAACCAGAAAACTAGAAAATGCCTGCCGACAACTTTTACCACATTAGTAATTCATAATGATCCCTCTTTCCTGCTTGAAAGTTCAACTATTTAACATCTTTGATATAATTTTAAATGGGATTATATATTATAAGACCGTTCACTTTAAGTACAAAAAAGTTACAATCACTTTTAGCCATTGGATGTGAAATTCGATAGCTTGGGTACATCACATAATTCTAAAAAAATTATTTTATATTTTGTGCCTAATCATCCATATACATGTAGTAGTTTGATTTCACATCTAATGATCAATATTATTTGTGACCTCACTGTGCTAAAAATAAACGATCTTATTGTATATTTTTCCATTTTAAATAGCCCGTCGTTCTTTAGATTAATTTTCGTGCAACCACCAAATAACACATCAATGATTGGTTGATAAACTTATCGAATCACACCTTCTGTGATGTTAAATTTTTCATCCATAGGAGTAATTTAATAAATTTCTCTATGATTAAAACCCTTTTTAACAAAGGAAATTTTTAATCTTAGGTGTTAACCTTCATCATAAAAGGTTGTTTCGTCATTAGAAAACCCTCCAATTGATCATCTCCAATTTGATATGTATGAATATGAAAAAGAAATTGAATTTCAAGTATTAATAATAGTACATCTTGTAACACATTTTCTAAATCATCATTTATTAAGGTCTTTAAGTATTTATAGATTTGTTAGATCTACAATATTTTTTGAGCTTTCAATTTCACAGTAAGGGTCAAAAATGTATTTTAGGGCGATCATAAAAGTTTCGAATACATCTTATAATGAGATTTTGAGGTGCACCTTACCATGATTGTTAAGGTTGGCACCTTATACAAACCTCACCCTTTTAACAAATTATACATTGTTGCACACAATGTTTTAGAATCCAAATTGGTGGGGAGGATCATCCACTCCACAGATCCATGTCAGACTACTGAACCTATGACCTGGATCGGTCCGAAGTAACAATCCAAAAAATATTTAAAATAAAAAAAAATTCAAATAAAGGTTTTTGAGTGGGGATTTAGGGAGATCTAAGAAAAAAATATAGAAAAGCTTAAAAAAAAAAAAGATTTTTTTTTTTTTGGTAATTGTGGTTGTTGTTTTGTGGGGTGGGGTGAGGTGGAGCGAGGCAGGAAACGGTTCTTCATTTGAATCGACAATTCCCGATTTGGGTTGTCGATTTTAAAAAAAAAAATATTTAAAATGGACATAAACGAGTGGTTTCAATATTGTCTCCATAGAATTTTTAAAAATTTTGTTTCGAGTTTTTCAAATTTATTATTTTGATAATCCGAGTGTTGATATGATATATTTCTTAAAAATTGGATCCATAATCTATCTAAAGAAAAGGATTTTATGAGGGACTCGTTTCTAGAGCCCTAAACCTAGGAAGAAACGTCCACTTTAAAACACCGCTTGCATGTGAGACAGAAGGACAAAGAGTTGACAAAGACAGGTGTTAACGTGCTGACAAAATCACAGGTGCCTTACGCCGCCACCTTGTGTGGTGTGTGCTCTCCCAGGGGCATTTAGGGTAAATATGCACTTGTGATCGATAGGAGTGGAATTTTATTATTTTTTATGTTACCATTCATTTATTTCAACATCCTCATGTTAGTAGTTATCTTATAGTTGTGTTGCTTCTTGACTGTTCAAAATTTCGTCCCATATTTAATTTAGAAAAGCATGACATTGATCGATAAAAGCACTATATAATAGAAATAATGTTTTGTGTAAGCCTTATGATCCATGCTATGATATTATACAATTTTATGGGAAATTTATCAAACTACGTCTAAGATTCGGAATTGCCCTTATTGGAGTTACAATATCAGCAATCATTGAAGTTATCAATAACAACTATTGTTGAAGTTACAATATCTATTCATATAAGGAAAATTGTTTCATGCGGTTTGAACCGCATTTCCACTTATGCGGCCCAAAAAGTGTAAAACATCCATTTTAAAGATGGATGCAAGTAGGTGTTCCATCTACAAACAATGGAAACTAACGGTCCAAATATTTTCTTACTAGAATTATTATTTTTAGTTTTTAAATTTGATTTTTTTTTCATATTCATGATCTCCATGTTCGAAATTACATGTCTTTAAAATTTAAGTCTTAAAATCCATCTCAAAAATAGATTTACTAATAGGCCCGTATTTCTACATGTGCGGGTTTGGCCGCATTGAAACCAAGTCCATTATATGATTAATGATAATGGAATTCCACCAATGCTAATAAAATTAGAGGAATTCATTAGAATATCCACAAGAGACTAGCAATTTAACTTCTCACCAAATATTTTATTTAATTTCAAAATACTTATAAAAAATACCTCGGCATGAATTCAAGTTGTGGCAAATTGCAATAGTATTAAATAATTCATCTCTTATAGTTATTTTGATAAATTACCCATAAAAATATAATAAAATTAAAATCCTAGTAGTTATTTTCAAAACGGACACGGTTTGTATGAGTCTCCATACTCTTATATAAAAATGTGCCCCTCTTGAGAATTTTTTTTAAAATGGATTTTGGCCGTAATTTTTAAGGAGTATAAAAATAAATAAATTTTAAAAATTAAAAATAATAATTTTTGAAAGAAGTATTTCAACCATTATTTTTATTTTTTATGTTTTTGAAAGGACCACCATTTCCATTGGATGGTTTACGCCTTGCAAAAAGATATAAAGTTTACCTTTCAAAATAATTAGTTTCCAACTGTGGACCCCATATGCCCTAAATTCATTTGATTCATGCTTAGTTGGTTGACCCCACTAACAACTGGCCATACAACAATGGTGTCTATATTATCGAAACTCATCCTTATTTTCTTACTCTCTCTCTTTTTTTATAAAGGTCATTTTTTTTTTTTAATTAAGTGATCTATGCATAACCCTACTCGTTTATTCAAGTAAATTAAGAGTTAGCTTTTTAAACGTATTAATGAGATAATGTTAATCGTGAAAATGAAAACCACAATGTGGTCACTATAACTAAGGAGTGGGGCGACAACCTTATAAATCTTCATGGCCACATTAATCCAAATGCCCCCCCTCCCCGATAGAGAGAGAGAGTCATTTACCTAATTCTACAACATCAGTAAGGAGTTTGGGTTTGCAATGGTTGTGGGAAGGATGTTTGATCCAAGCCCTAGGAAATTTGCTTTGCTAGTGACTGGGGTTCTAAACCCACAATTTACCAGCCGTTATGGAACCATTACCCTAATATTTGAAAGGTTTCTAAAGGAGGCTGGTGAAGTATGGGACAGCTTTCTGGTGGTTAATGGAGATTTCTCCTTCATGGATGGCATTGATGACTACTCAGGCTTTGTGGTCACAGGAAGTCAATTTGATGCTCATGCCAACGATCCATGGATCCTTCAACTTTGCCAGGCCCTAAAACATTTGCACCATATGAAGAAGAAGATTCTAGGTATATGCTTTGGCCACCAGGTTCGTCTTGCTATTACTATCTCTCTCTCTCCCTGCGATGCCATTTAACCACTGTTATAAGGAGGACAAAATTACTCTTAGTCATTATTGGAAGCTTTTCCAACTTCGAAATACTTTAATTATAAAATTTAAAATTTTGAGAAGAGTAATGATCTTATAAGACCCTCCCATACCCATGTGTATAGATAAAGTAGATCCATATCATTTTTTAAAAATGGTATAGATAAAGTAGATCCACATCATTTTTTAAAATATACATTCTAGATGATATGTTACAAGATATACCAATTTTTATGATTTGAAATCTACTATCCCATCAGCATACATCTTGAGGTATTGATGATTTATTTTGGGGTTCTTTGATGGTAACAACCCTTATAGAGTATTTTCCTATTAGGGTTGGCAACGGGCTTGACTTGGGCTAGGTTGGCTGGCCAAGGCCAAGGCCAGACCAGAGAGGCCCAAGCCCAGGCTAGGCCCTAGCTGGGCCAAAGAGGCTCAGGCTCGGCCCAAGCTCTCTCAGGCCCGGCCCGAGTTCTTTCAGGCCGAGCTTTAGCCCTAGCACAAGGCAAGCCATAATTGGGGAAAAGATCCTTGGCCCATGCCTGGCCCTAGCACTCTCAAGGCCAGGCCATGCCCAGCCGGGCTAGAAACAATTTATAAAAAATAGAAGGAAAGGTAAAGAAAAATGAGGGCTGTTATTATAATTGTATTTATGTAGGTGGACGGTTCTTTGGCAACCTAAAACGATAAAAGTGCCACTTTTCCCTTGGTTAAATTGTATTTATGTAGGTGGACGGTTCTTAGGCAACTATCATTTATGTGGACCTATTTTTTTGAGAGAGGAGGCTGCTTTAGTGCTTTCTATGGTAGTTCATTAATAGGAATAAATTTGGGGAAAAGTTCATATAAGGATGCTACCTTATAATGTAGAACTATGGATGCCCCTCAAAAATCCATCGGAAAAGATAGTTTTAATGTTGAAAAACCCTTTGATTGATCATCTCGACATCGAGATGTATGGCTTTGAAAAAAAAAAAAGATTTTAAGTTTCAAAAATAGTGCATTTTGCAACATATTATCTACACCGTCCTTTTTCAAGATTTTCATATGTTTATGGATCTACTTAATTTTAACCATTTTTGAAATTTAAAATTTTATAATTAGATATAAAAATAGATTTTGAGATACTCCTAAGAACATTTTACATCAAAATTATATACCATGATAAAATTTGAAGGTGCACCTTACCTCTTCACCTACGGATGCATCCGTATGGAAACTGCACCCATAAATTTGTGATGTTCCATTACTGAAGTCAAATACTAACCACTTAACCTTGATTCCTAGGAAAATAATATGATTACTAATAGGAAAAAGAAAATTTTTTATGTAAGGCTCGGCTTTAAAAAAAGAAAAAGCACAAAATTGCACTTTCTAAGAGGGGCATTTGATAACGGAAAAAACATACGAAAGTCTCACACTTTCTCCTGTACTATAGTTTTCACATGTTTGAAAACAGTAAAATTGGGAAAAGTTATAACTTATTTTTTCCCTATTTCACTATTCCCTTAAAGAAAGTGGCATACCATAGGCACCGTCTGTGCTGCCACTTTTGGAAAAAGCTACAAACCATCAACAAATATAATAATACTTATTGGAAAAATCTGGGATAACCTCACTAGTTTATATGAATATATGAGCCCAACGGTCCAGATTGAATATGGGTCGATCTGACGGTCATAATATCATTTCGTGTTTGAATTTTAATTTTTTTTTTACAAATCAAAATCACTTGAAATTTAAATATGTGTTTTTCTCATCAAGACACACCCAATAAAAATATAAAAAAAATTTATTTACATAAAAATAACCAAAA